TGATCATTTCATGAAGATTTTCAAAATCTGGCTCACTGGGAAATTGCCCCACACACACACACGCAAAAAAGCAACCACAGCTCTTCGTGTACTCACAGTTTTCGGACCAAACCCATCAGGGAGAAAGAGCCACAGTGCTCCAAGGCCAGAGCGGCTCCCCTCGCTGCCCCAGGAGCCTCCCTATAGAGATCAGGCAGATCCTGGCCTGGGACAGTTCCTCCTGGAGTTTTGTCTGCACACAGTGAGGAAGCAAAAATCATGACCCTAGGAAAACAGAGATGCCAAGTGGAATACCATGCAGGCTTCAGAGCAAGGCACAGACAAAATTCAGACCATGATCGGACGCCTGATGATTACGGCTTTTGATTCTTTACAGTGAGGAGACAGTGTTATTATTCTCTTGGAGTTTTTTTAAATCCTCATTCATCTTTTGTTTCCAGTCAATCCACAACTATGGTTTGACTATTAATCTATGACATAGAGGAAATGTCCAATTCACAAAAGTGGTGAACTCCAAACCTTTGGGAGTTGGTTATTTTGGGAACTAGGAATGGTTTTTCCTCCAATAAACAATACTATAAATGATGGTGAGGTTTCCAGAGCAGCCCCACAAAAGTCTTCTTAACTCATAATGTTATTGAAGCCCCAGACATTTACTGTGAAAATGAGTAGAGAGCAATTTTGTTGTAACACCAATATACAGACTCAAAGATGGATGATACAGACTCCCTTCTCTTGAATTCCACTTAATGAAACAACTGGTTTAATGAAAGAAAACAAAGGGAAAGATAGAGACTTTTTAGGGTGAGACCTCTACTTATTTGGGAGGCTGATAGCAGCATTTTATTGTTATTCTGTCTGGCCAGTATCACGTGTGCACCTTTTTTGCCATGTTCCCTCATAGAGACATGATACAAAGGAGTCGTGATGAGAATACATTTGAGGCTCACATCAAAGGATGGGGGAGGAAAAGCAAGAAGTTTGAATGAGATTTACTTGATGGGGTGACTGAAGCATGTAGTTGCAAGGAGGAGACAGTCTAACTCTGCATTAACTTATTTACTAGGGAAATTGAGGAGAAGGTGGAAGACCTAGTATCAGGTCTGAGTCTGGAAGAGGAGAGTCCACTATTTGGACAGGCAGTTCCCTCTGTGACCATAAGGTGGTGCCATCAGTCCAGACAGTCGGCCCCCAAGGGGGCGTGGCTTGCAGGAGGAGGAGCTCCACACGTGGAAGCCACGTTTTCCACTCTGGCTTTAGAACTCAGAAAGCCTGGACCAGCCACCAAGTATTAACATGAACCTACACAACACCGCCTCATCATTCAACAACTTCCCATCCTCCAAGGCACCACCTGCTCACACCCAAGCAAGAACATCCTTCTAGGCATAGCAATCCACATCAAGATTCCAACTAATTATTTACCATTCCTCTCACCCTTCACAGTGTCAGCTCTGGGCTGCTGACCTTTTCCTAACTCCAAAAGGGAATCTAGTATGAGAGCATCCTGGAGTTTCATCCTTAAATGCCACCAGGATGAGATAACAAAATCTTCTCTGGTGAGCACAGATATGTTCACAAAGGCCCTGCAACAAGGCCCCAAACGCCCTTGACAGGTTTATCTTGCATTTGAATACCAAACTGGGCAGCTCCTAGTCCTCATATGAAACGCATGACGTCCCCTCTGGTCATTTACCCCTGCTGGTCCTCCCTCCTACAATACCCTCTGTTCCTGTTCCACTTGTTAGTATCCTCTCCCCTTTCAAACTCAGACCCGAAGTAACCCACTCACTGTTTGGATTTAATCGGCGAATTGGAGTGAGAGAGGAAAACTAGGGTTCCACGCATTAACCACAGAAGCCCCCAGACGTCACGAAGGGAGCCTGCCTCCTCCTTCCCACTGCCAGTAGGGTCTCAAACTCCTTCTCATCCAGCCAAGAACGCTTGCTGAGTCTCAGGGCAATACAAGCTGGACTGTCCTTACATCTCCAAAGTCTCAATTCCCATCTAGTGAGAGACCAAATCTGCAAGCACAATGCATGGTCCAGTGTCTGTTCCCCATTCATGTTTCCTTTACAGTAATAATAATACTTACTCTCATTATTACTACCCCTTACCTACTCCCTACTGTGACCAGCCACAGGCTGCCAAACCAGGCCTGAGTTATGAGGCTAGAAGGAGAAAGGGAAGATCACAGCACAGTCACCAGCCTGAGCTCTTCTCCCTACTCTGAACCCAGGCCCGTGGCCTCAACTGGTAATCCCAGTACACTGCCTCCTACTTCTGCAGAATTTTCTCAGCCCTGATGGGACAGACTGGGATGGGCATTCTTCTCTGGATGTCTGGCTCTGGCCAAGTGGTCTGAATATATAACTCTTAAGAACTGGTAACTGAAAAAAAAAAAAAAAGAACTGGTAACTGTACTTGCTTTACCTCAAATCCAACCACTGCTTTTTTTTTTTTTTTTTTTCTANTTTTTTTTTTTTTTTTTTTCTAAAAGGGGCAGGTGGCTCAGGTAGCAGACACGAATGTCTCCTGTGAAACTGGAGCAAATAGCTTCAAGATGAATTTTTCTATTATGCAGGTCCTCTGAGGGCAGTCCCAGGGCCTTGTGGTGGCAAAAGGCTATGCCCCAGCTCTGGGAGGCAGAGACCTGCATCTGCCTGGCCCCTGCTCCAGGTGGCAGCCCAGCCTTCTAACAAGAAGACTCAGAGTGACTGCATCCCACAAAGGTGGGCTTGTTCCCACCCGCTAGACCTCTTCTGTTTCTGTTGCTCAAAGAGCCAAGAGATCAGATGCCCTTTTTAATGCCAATATTACTCATGTTCTCACCTACAAAAGAGGCTCTCCAAGGAAAGAAAGCCTACCCAGGAAATTCAGAGGCTTATGGACTTCGTGGGAGGCCAGACTGCCATTGGTTTTTTGTTATGTTTTGTCTCTTAAGAATATACAGGAGATGGTGTTTCATAAACTAATAAAGGAAATAAATATCCAAACAAAAGCAGAGTGGAAAGTGTGCACCACCTATTATTAATATAATGGACTTGTACCCCACCTCCTTCCCCTCAAACTCTTGAGGCTGTAAGATGTAATTGTTATTGGAATCACGGGCATGAGTGGTCAGCTCTTTGTCACGACACAAACTCAGACATTCAAAGTGATCCTTTCCTGGGGTTCTGAAATCGGGTGGGGATGGTGGACAGCAGCGAGCTCCCAGGTGCTGCAACCCCTGGGAGGGCCTACTCGAAGGTGCCTTTCCCACCCCCTCCTATCATTCCTCCCACCTCTGGGCCGCTGGACACCGGACAGCCGCAGCCACTGGTGCCCACCCTGCCCCCATCCCGGTTCCTAACGCCCTCCTGCATCCGGGACCTCGGGAGGGGAGCTTGGCAAGCCGAACGGTTGACAGAGGACGACCTGGCCCCTGCGTCTCAGCACCCCCTCCCCCAACTGTGTCACAAGGCTGCCCCAACGAGGCGCTCGTTGCGCCCCGCCGCGGAGACCCAGCGCCGCGTCGCCGCGGGCAGTGGGTGATGAAACCTCCGGGGCGCATTACCGCAGAGGGCGCGGGCTGGGAGCGGGGCGGGGGTGGGGGTTTGGAGCTGGTACCCAAGCTCACCTGTTCTGCAGGAGGGTGGAGACGGCGGGGGAGGGGCGAAAGCGCGGCGACCCGGGGTGAGCGGCGCAGCCCTCGCGTCCCCGCCCTCCCCCTGCCCCACGAGCCCCCAGAGCTGCGCCGTCGGACTGACGGTGCCCGGAGCAGTTCCTGTCCCCGGCCTCGGCGCGGGGGAGACGTGAGCGTGCACACGTACACACACAGCGGGGGAAGAGGCGCTCCGAGCGGCGCCCAACTTTCTCCCTGCTTCCGCCAGCCGGGGCGAGAAAGCAGTCGAGGGCAGCCCAGCGCCGGCCGTGCTTGGGGAGGGAGCTCGAGCAAGAAAGGAGAAGAGATGGAGAGAATTTCCTCGCGTTCTGTTTTTAGGGTTTGGGGAGAATTTTTTTTTTTTTTAACCTTTACCATCCGATGAATGAAGAGTAAAGGGAACACAGAACGCGGCGGCGAGTAGCGCTTTGGGAAAATGGAAGAGTATGTTTGGAGACGCGTAAAGTTGCCTTTCAAGCTCCAGCCTCTGGGGCACGCGATGCTCCGCCGCGGGCTGACTCAGGGCTGCCTGGGCCTCCCTGCCACCCGCCTGTAAATGATGCAAGTCCAGTCTCTCACCTGGATCCCTGCAGCCCAGCCCAGAATCCGTCTGGATTGAGGGAGGGGCAAGAATCTGGCACCTAAGGTGTGGCAAGGCCCACCACGGAGGGGCGAAAAGAGGAAGATGGAGCAACCGCTCCAGCGGAGTCCTGTATCTAGTGCTTCTGCTCCTATCTTAAAATAGTTTGGAGGATTTTTTTGTTTTTAATGCAAAGCATCACACCGCCAGGAATTCCCATCTGTGCCCAGCTTGCCCCCAGCACCACTGTGTCCAGGAAACTTCTCCAATCTGTCAAGGCCTCGGGGCTGGAAATCTTAACTAAATTACAAGAGGCAGAAAGAGGAAACTGCCAGCCCGTTGCGGGGGTGATGCGAGCCAGGAGCCAGAGGGGGATGGAGGGGACGGGGGACGCTGTCCCAGCGCAGACCATCCCCTCTCGCCTTTCTTTAGCTGCAACCGGAGCTAGGATTCGCTTTTAGTTAAGTCCGTTCGGCCATTGCCTTGGAGCACCCGCACACGCGCATGTATCTCCGGCCGCGCTCTCACACACTCACACACGCACGCAAACGCGTGGCCACCGCCAGGTCGGCAACTTTGTCGGGCGCTCCCAGCGGCGCTCGGCTTCCTCCTGTAGTAGTTGGGCGCAGGCCCCGCCTCCCAGCCGTGTTGTCAAACGGGCGGGGGTCTCGGATTGGTCCAGCCGCCGGGACAACACCTGCTCGACTCCTTCATTCAAGTGACACCAGAGCTTCCAGGGATATTTGAGGCACCGTCCCTGCCATTGCCCGGCACTCGCGGCGCTGCTAACGGCCTGGTCACATGCTCTCCGGAGAGCTACGGGAGGGCGCTGGGTAACCTCTATCCGAGCCGCGGCCGCGAGGAGGGAAAAGGCGAGCCGGGAGGAAGAGTGGGAGGAGGAGGGGAAGCGGCGAAGGAGGAGGAAGAGGCGGAGGAGAGCACAAAGAATCCAGGTCTCCGGGCTGGAGATTTACACCAAGAACCATGTGTGCCGAGCGGCTGGGCCAGTTCGTGACCCTAGCTTTGGTGCTGGTTACCTTCGATCCAGCTCGAGGGACCGACGCCACCAACCCCCCCGAAGGTCCCCAAGACAGGGGCTCCCAGCAGAAAGGCCGTCTGTCCTTGCAGAACACAGGTAAGCGCGTGCGCCCCGGCTGCGGGGAGCTGCTGGGAGAAGACATCCCGCACCAACGCAGCGCGCCCCGGGCGCTTCGCCCAGAACTGGGCGCCCACTCTGGGTCGCTCAAACTCTTGGGGTGGAGCGGGGCGTGAAGAGGAAAGCGCGAGGTCCACACCCGGCTCCGCGCGCCCGGAATCCGCACGTGCTGGCCGGGTGATGAAATGGCTGGGGCAGGACTTGTTGCTGTCCTCCCGTGATCGAGGGTAAATGAAGCACCGCATGACGCGGCCAATGCCAGCTTCAGCGTCCCCGGACCGGTTCAAACCTCCCTGCTCCATCCTAACCGGCTTGCAGGCGGCACGGAGCGTCCCCGCTACCGAGCTGCGCCCTGAACCGAAGAAGTTCTCTTCCCAGCCGGCCGGCTGCGGCAGGACTGCTTCTCCCCCTCCTCAAAAGATGCCCGACATCCAAGAACTTTGTAGGCGAGACAAATGGCAAGGCGAACTTTCCCCCTTGTGGGGCATTCCTTTCGGAAGGGGCAGGGGCGGGTGGAGTAAAGCGTACCTCTGCGGCGCTGCCTCCGTCCCTGGCTCCAGGGCAGGTCAGCAAGAGAAGAAATGGTGACACGGCCCGAACCGTGCGCGGCAGCTGCTCGACCGGCTCTCCGCTTACCCCCGAACTGCCAAGCACAACCAGGCGTGCAGGGCACGGGGCTGGCTCTTTTCCCAGCCCCCGGGAGAGGAAGAAAATCTGCCTAGCGCTTCTTCGCTCTTCACGGCCCTCCCTTTATTCAGGGGGCCTGTGAACCCGGCGGTGCCGTGCGTGCGCTCACCGCACGAGCAGGAATGCACGAGTGCCCTTTAGGGGCGCCGGGAGCGAGTGAACCGCGGCCCTGCGCGCTCCTGGCCGGCGCGCCGGGGCCGCGCATGGGACCGTCCGGCCGTCCTCCACCTCCAGGGGCGGATGCCAGCACCCCGGCTCGCGCCCCGCTCGTCCTAGGAATCTCACCCACCTTTCCCCCTCCCAGAGCTTCCCCTGAGAATCAAACGTGATTTTCGCTAGTTGGTGACCCTCAACAAATGCACTCCCCTCTTTCTCTCGGCAGATTTAATCTGAATGCGGATTATCTCCTCCGACCCGCCCTTCTTCCAAAATATACTCTTCTGATGTAATTTTGTGGTTGGTTTAAGTCAGGGAATTGGGTAGGGGGAGGGAAGGGAGAGAGGCTTTGCAGCCTGACAGTTAACTCCCTCTCAGCCTGTCCTTTCAGAGAGACGAATTAGGGCCACATTCTACAAAGAAGGGCAGCGGACACCCGGGTCGCGAGAAGTCTAGGGAATTAAGCGACATCTCACCCCAGATCGCTGTTAAAAAGGAACCTCGAACTGCAAAGGTTGCGTTTCTGCAGGCTAACCCCTATCTGACTCGACTCCTGAGCCTGCTTGCAAGCAAACCGCAGTTTCCCTAGCCTGGTATTTTTAATGCGAATGGTTTGGAGGCGCTGCCTTAATAGGAATTTTGTTTTGATTTTTAGGTGTTGAATCATAAAGCTAAATTGAAACTGCTTTTTGGACGCTCTCATTTGGGGGTCAGGAAGGAAATGGCTGTGATTTAATAGCAGCAGCTTCATCCAAGTACAGAAGAGTATTTCATTGATGAAGGACAGACGGCAAAGACCAAGCTAATGGGTTGAAATTTTATTTTTGTCAGTGGGTTTAGAAAGCTGAAATATCTGCAGCTGTCAAACTAAGTATTCCCACAAATACTTTAATAAGATGAGAAGGATGAAAAAATGGAGTGTTCTGACCTAACTTCTCTTGTGACTTTTGTAATGTAGGTCTGGCTAATTTTTACAAATATTTACAAATACTAGTTATCTTCATAAGTAGATTAAGTGATGAAATTTTCTTTCCTTGGTTTTTGGATCCTGAAACAGTCATTTCTAACACTCTTTCTTAATTTTCCTTTTAGTCATTACTTTTATTTCCACTGGCATCTCTCTGCATTCGCCAGCATGGCAGAGAATTTTGTATATGATTGTATGTAATTCTCATTTTAGCGGAAATCCAGCACTGTTTGGTCAGCGCTGGCGATGTGGGATGTGGCGTGTTTGAATGTTTCGAGAACAACTCTTGTGAGATTCGGGGCTTACATGGAATTTGCATGACTTTTCTGCACAACGCTGGAAAATTTGATGCCCAGGTAAAAACCATATTGAGCACCAAGAATGTTTTGGGTTAGCAAAGCATGACTGAAACGTTCACTGGAAAAGCCTGTTAACAGAGTTTCCTAGCTGATCGTCATGGTGGGTTTTCATACTGGCCAGAGACCCCCAGGTGTGCAGCAGGCTGCCAGCGACTCCCCACTGCACTCCTGGGGTTCAGCTTTCTGGACCTGTCGTATCGGCCGAGTCTTCCTCCACCCTTCACCTGTGTGTGCACACACAGAGTGGGATGGAGACCAAGCTGAACAATTGTTTGAGGAGTCTTAGCAGAGAAAACTCATAATAAATAATAAGGCACATACACTGTCTGGCTACCCAGAACCCAATCTGCAAGGACCATAGCATTAGGCTGGGGGTAGGGCAGGGAAGGTCAGGGACTCCAATTAAACATGCCAAAAGCTATTTTCACCTAATAGGCAAGAATAAAACAGACTTGAAATTTGTGGAAATTCATCATCTCCTAGAGGACATGTGGGCAGGCAGCATGGATAAATCAGGGCCTCCAGAGAGCACGTTTTTCTTCCTCCTAAGTAGCAGATCCTCCTCTCCCAACCTGAAAAGTTGGAACCCTGAGTGAGTCCCGCTCTATATAACAAATATAGTCAGGGCCTGACCCACTTCACTTATCCCAGGGTCCCCAGGGTAAAAGCCTGGATGCTGCATGGGTAGGAAAAGAACCCAACAAGTAACCTTACGGCTCCAGTGCACGACGTTCGAACACGTTTCAGGTGGAGCGGAGCATCAGGTTCATCTCCTTCATGTCCTCCCCAGCCTGTATATGCACTGTGAAGTACCCCGTTGTCGTTTCATGGGAGAGCCATGACTGTTTGGATGAGGCCAACAGTTGAGGTGTGACTTATGAACATCACCAGTTACCATGTACTGACATCCTGCAGACAGCCTAACAAAGCAACGCCTGGGAACCAGGAAGGGATGCGACAGGGCTGGCAGCCTCCCCTGCAGAGGATGTGGGGTGCCAGCAGGGGAAACCAGGGAAGGAAAGAGGAGGAAAGTGTTTGAACTCCTTGAGATGCCCTAATAAAGCATCCCTTCTGGATTAACTGGAATTAGGAAACGTAATAGGAAATCCGGAGGAAAGATGTGTATTTCAGGGCAATCCCACAGGATGTCAGGGAAGAATACTGAGAACAGATTGCTGCAGCCCTCGCATACATTCATCTTCCTTTTTTTCCTCAACCAACGGGAGTATGTTCTCAAGTTAGAAGCATCCCTTTCAAGTCAGGTCTCGGCCCATAACTACTTAATCAACCGGCACGCCCTACCCTCCACCCTATTTGGCTCCCACTGGCGCGTCAGAGGAAAGGGAATCACCATGAGGTGGCTTTTCAGTGATCAGACTCTATCTGTAGACCTTTCAGCTGCTTCTACAGAAGAGGACTGAAATAAAGGTGCTGGCCGGTGTCCCAATTCCAACCTAAACCCATTTACTTTCTCAACTCCGTTACTTCCAGGTCTGTCTGAAAAACAGGGGTGACCTCTCCAATGACAGCTCACTTCTATAGAAGATGGGGTGTGAGGATCCCTGGATGGGTATCCCACGGTGCCTCTGTGCCCCTCGAGGTTGATAAGGAAGCCAACGGCCGGGGCTCGCCTCCACACCCCCAACAGCTGTCTCCTCTCTAGGATGAGAACAATCTCGCGGGGTTGCCAGGAAAGAGAACTGCAGGCCAGATGTATGCCTGGCTGCCTTCGCCACTCGGAGGCCTGGGGGGAGGGGGAGGGGCCGTCAGCCGGGCAGTTCAGGCTCCAGATGCTGGCAGGCAGTATGCCAGGCGGGCCTTTTAGAGGCAGTAATCCTAACAGTTTAAAGGAGTCAAATTGCTTTCAAAAAGGAAAAGAATGCTCCTCCTTAAAGGCTAGGAGGAGGAGAGAGAGAGTACGGGTTGGGGTCGGCGGGAGGCACTGAGGCAGGAAAGGCAGGCCCAGCTCACACCCGACCTTGACATCACTAGAAGGAGCAGGAAAGATGTGAGATCTGGACATGAAGGCACCTGGGAAAAATTCTTGCCACACACCGCCAAGGAGCTCTGGGCTTATGCCTGCCCAAATTTCCCTCAGAAAATTTCAGAAATGTTGCCACCATACAGTCAATACTGGGCTTCCTTGAGGACAGAGGGCCACGGGAGCCCCAGGACGAGGGAGGCTAGTAGAGGCGTTTGGGAGGAAGGAAGCAACCATGTCAGTCTCCCAGATAACATCCTTTGGGACCGAAGGCAGAGGTCTCACATCACTGTGGACAGACCTCTGATGTAGCCTCAGCCTCTCACCTGCAAGGATGTCCGTCTGGATGTGGCCTTGAGGTTCGGTTGTCAGAAAAACCCCATGTAAGCCCAACAAGGCTCAGAATGTCAAAGCGTGTAATAAGGACTGGTCTCTTCCACCCCTGTCCCCCTCCCCTGCCCCCTCCCCTCGCAGGGCAAGTCCTTCATCAAAGATGCCTTGAAGTGTAAGGCCCATGCTCTGCGGCACAGATTCAGCTGCATAAGCCGGAAGTGTCCAGCCATCAAGGAGATGGTGTTCCAGTTACAGCGGGAATGCTACCTCAAGCACGACCTGTGCGCTGCCGCACAGGAGAACATCCGGGTGATGGTGGAAATGATCCACTTCAAGGACTTGCTGCTGCATGAGTGAGTGCCGCCCTGTGGGGTGGGGCAGGGGTGGGCTGGGGTGATGCTGCAACGTGGACGGAGGGAGGAGAGGTCTGCTGCGGTCCGGAGACAGTCTTCTTCAGTTTGATGGGTTGACTAGTAGAGGCTGAACTCTCCTATGAAATGGGGAGGTTGTGGTTTACCACAGAAAGCTGCACTGACTCCCCTCAGAGTCCCTTTCCGGCTCTTCAGGAAAAGCAAAAGAAATTTCCACCATCAGTTTCAAAATCCTAAGCAATAGCAACAGGAAATCTGTTTCACTGAGCGTGAAACGTGTGGAATTCAGGAATACCTTTCGCCTTTCCGTCAGCCAGGACCCCAACAGTCCTGAGTGTTCCGAGCTGCCATGTAGGTGCCCCAGCATATGGCCATGGGCTGGTAATATATACTGAGGATGTACTGAGTGCCAGGCATTGTGCTGAGGCTTCATATGAATTTTTCACTTGATCTTCATGACAGCACCGTGAGCTAGGTACCGTTTTCATCTCCATTTTACAGATGAAGAAACTGAGATTCACTGTGGTGAAGGTCACACAGACAATGATGAGGACCCTGCAGTCCAGCTCCAGGACTTATACTCTTAAATACCAATAGCTTTTTCCCTTGTCTCCATAAGCTCTGCTTTCCCTTAGAATGTCCAATTCACCTTCAACATCCATGCCCTCCCAGAGAAAATGCAAAACAAATGATAAAAACTTTAATCAGCTAAACACCTTTATGTCAAAATGAGGGGATAGGAACATACTCTTTGGAAGACTTGTAATTCAATCATAAACCCAGGATGTTTAAAAACATCCCTACAGTACCCTAAATTTTTGCAGAGTAGTAAAGCAAATGAAAGCCTAGTTGGCTCCTAACACAGTAGCCCATGATAGTTACAGTGGCTCCTTCCTTGGGGACCTCAGGGCAGAAAGCAAGGTACTAGCTAAGCAGCCCAGTACAAGTTACTGCACTGTTCGTCTTTGCCCAGTGACTCACTGGGCCAAATCAGTACAGTATTATCAACCCTTGCTCCTTAGTTTGTGCCATAGCCTCCCTCAACTATGTCACTAAACAGGCCACTCTCCATCCCATCCATACCACTTAGACCACAGAGAAGAGCAACCATCCCCTGTCATTTTCCAGTTGGTTATAAGGCTCTAGGTACCTTGCAACATCCCTGGTACTGTGTTAGAATTATTAGAGTCACCACGAATCTCTATAGGCAGCTCTTGCCAGGAGCAAAGTGATGTTGCCTTTGCCTTGAGTTACACTGTGTTCTCAGCCGCTCAGTCATGTCTGAGTCTTTGTGACCCAATGGATTGTAGCCCACCAGGCTCCTCTGTCATGGATTTTCCAGGCAAGAATACTGGAGCAGGTTGCCATTTCCTACTCCAGGGGATTTTCCTGACCTAGGGATCGAACCCACATCTCTTGCATTTCCTTCATTGGCAGTCGCATTCTTTACCACCAGCACCACCTAGGAAGCCTGAGTTATACTAATGCCCAATAAAAATATTTTCTATTCTTCCAAATTTCTGTAAAGAATCAAACCAACAATTGCATCAACAACAATAGCAATAACAATAACTCTCATTTTCTGAGTTGGCCAGGCCGTTGGCCAGGGACTTGGCCTAGATAATCTCATTTACCTTTCCCAACAGTGCTACAAGCAAGAGAATACTAACCCCGTGCAACAAAGAAAGTGAAGCTAAGAAGTTAAAGATCTTGCTCTGAGGTTCAATTCCTAATTTCCAACTTGGGAATTGGTGATTCTGAAGCCAGTTGTCAGGAATGGACCTCAAACCTCCTTGTCCTGGCCTCCATTCTCCCCACTAGACCAACTAAAGGCTCATTGGTCCCCAAATGCAGCAGGACTTTTTCCCCTTTTTTCAAAAACAGTCCTGTTACACAAGCAGAACACTGACGTTTCCTTCCTTCAAGGTGCCCCTGCAAGAGGCAGACACTCCATTGCTGAGAAACGCATGAAGTTCATTTGTCTTCAACTTATTCTCCTCCATCAGAGGTAGTTTGTTGGCCTCAAAAATGGGTGACGGGCCCCTAGTTTGTAATTCTGTAACACATTCCTAGAGCCAAGAAGACTTTTGTTTCTTTGGAGAAAAGTCTTCTTTGGGAAAACTGAAGGTTTTGAGGGGTTTTGCCACCCCACCCCACCTTTGCATTTAAGAAGACAGAAAGCATTATGGCTGTCTTTTGTCTCCTCCATGGAAACATCGTCCATGGGACCCTTACTTCCAAAAGGCTCCATGCATCACTTAGAGCCCACATAGCCCCAACCCCACCCTGCTCTGGAAATGCAGGTGGTCTACCCCAGAAGCAAACCTGGACCTTTTTCTTAAATACTCAATGTGACTACATGCAATTTCTCTTGCTAAGCCAGCAACTCTAGCTCCCCACAAAATTCCACTGCCTTCCCTTCTGAAGCTGCAACTGCACACTCTGTCAACTAGTATTTAAAGCTGAACTGAATTTTTTTTTAGTTTTTCTTAACTATCTTAACTGATTTGGGCACCAAAAATCCCATCAGTCCCCAATATCAAGAAGGCCATTTAAGAATGTATGACGTTGGCCACAGATAAGAAAATGAAAACTGAATTTACTCTTCCCTCTAGAGAGAAGGAAATCATAGTCATCCTAGAATCCATATCACCCGCATCCCTCAACCTGACCCTCCCCTAACCCCTAAAATGCTCACATTTAGTTAGCGACTTCCTTCACACACTCTGCTCCCCTTGCCCCTTCCCTCCCACTTTCTCCCTATCACCCGCCTGGCCATCAGACACCCTGTCACTGGGTACTGGCAGCCTCCAGGCACATCCCCCTCCAAGTATTTTTAAAAACCCTTTAGCCTTGCTGACGCCCAGTGGAGAGAGCTGGGCTTTGTCATTAGACACGGGCTGAGCTAGCAGCCTGAGAAGGCACCATGCCAGCTTGAAACACAGCTTAGATGAACACACCCCTCCCCATGGTTCACAGCTTTCTCCTCGGCAGAGAGCGCCAAGGGCAGAAAAGAGCGTGGGGTAGTCCAGCCTTCTGGGATCCGCCTTGGGATTCAGCAAGCTCGTCTGGCAGGCAGGATCCCCTGCTGAAGGAGGCCAAGAGGCAGTCCGTGGATTCCCAGGAGGGCCCTTCCTCTCCTTACTCTAGGGAAAGAAACTTGGAAAAAAGCATCCCCAAAAGACAGATGCTTAGTCTCCATGATCTGCTTATCTAGCCGCAGGAGGTGGCAGGCAGGCTCAGGTGCTAAAATCCCAATGGTGCTCTAGCAGACACTCGGTAAACTTGTCCCTGAGGCTGTCAGTTGCTAGTTTTCAAAAGATGGAAGGAAACAGACATTCAGGGAGCACTTCCCTCGTGTGCCCATGCCCCCCTCTCTTAGCTGAAGTCAACTTGGGTCATCACTGTCCTTGTCACGGTTAGGGGCCTGTCTTCAAGACTTTCAGCACCCTGCTCATCAGCTGAGCCCAGACTCTCCGACTCCAAAGGCATCAAGTAAGCCTTAAAAGGCAGCTTGATCTCTGTCAGCGGGAACATTCCTCCTCTCCGCTCTCAGCCCAGCCCCAGGCCTTCTCGGCCCAGAAGCTTCCAAAAGCCACTTTCTCCCCCGCCATGTCTCTGCTCTTCTAGCTATGAATGAGGGCAGTTCACTCAATTACAACTTGAGGACTAATTCATAAAAATGGCAGCAAACTGCGTCACAAGTCTTAAAACAATCTGCCCTTCTTGCTGGGCGACAACTGCCAACATGCAGAGAAAAGATTCAAATGGACTGTCGTGCAGCCTCCCATGGTGCAGGCTCACCAAGGGAAAAAAAAGTCTTGTTCTTGTAAGTGATCTTACGTGCCAGACTGATCCCCTGCCCAAGGGGATGGCCCAATGCATGGTCAGATGGACCCAGAAATTCTGCCAGTGAGAGCTGCTTAAGAAAGCTTGTTAGCCATCTGGAACATGCCATACCCCTCCCCATACCTTGGGGATTTTGAGTCCAATGAGATGTAAGAAAGGCTTGGTGAGTTGGCCAGGAGATCCCATTGCAGGGGGCACCTTTTGCCAGATGGGCCCCAAACTAGGCACACTGCTCCGGCTTTCTGCACACATCTCCACCCCCAGGAGGAAGGTACGTAGTCATTCCTCCTTCAGCACTTTTCCTAAAGATGGCCTGAGCAACTGGTCCTCCCCCCTGGGAACCAAGCATGCATATTTCACAGACAGCTGGCTCTCGTCCCAAGCACAGAGGCCCCTCTCTGCCAGACCAGCCCTCACCTCCCTTTGTGGGGAAGCCCAGACCCAAAGAATAGAGCTGTTCAGACAGCCACTCCCCCACCTCAGCCTCTTGCCACCAAGGAAGGGAAATCTTGGTTGGAATCTACACCCCAGCCCCGCCCTTCACCTGTTCCAGACGCCTCCAGATACAAAGGAGAATGCATCCAGAAACTTCCCCAAACACCCTTCATTATCATGAGCCCAAACCAGGGACAAATACACACAGGGGGGAAGTTGATTTTTGGGAGTGTCACTTAGATTAGGCTTATCAAGGAGAAGGACAACGAGTGCAAAGCCAGCCAGTCTCGCTTCCCTGCCATAAAGCCTCCTCAGTTTAGTATTTAAGGCCCTTCACTATTTGCATACGTAATATTCCACCGGTTCCAAGACCCATTTCCCGTCCTGCTAAAATCCTAGCTAGCACACCCTAAACAGGCCTGGGGGCTCACACAGTGAAGAATCCTCCTGCAAAGTGGGAGACCTGGGTTTGGTCCCTGGGTTAGGAAGATCCCCTGGAGGAGGACATGTCAACCCACTCCAGTATTTTTGCCTGGAGAATCCCCATGGACAGAGGAGCCTGGCGGGCTACAGTCCACGGGAATCGCAAAGAGTCAGAGACGACGGAGCACAGCAGAAACGGGCAGACCCGCCTCATTCCCACAGCTGTGCGCCTCACTCCTCAGGACTTCTAGGCTTCTAGCACAGACACCTGTGTATTGTCAGGGGCCCTTTTTCTTGTGGCGGGCTCCCTCTCCCAGGCTCCAGTTCCCTCCAGTGCCTGGCAGGGAGCCCAGTACTCCACAGAATCCAGGTAAAGACTAGCAGTAATTCCAGGAACATCTTTTGCCAAACCAAACCCAAGTGAAGCATCGGCCAGGTCCCTCCCCTCGTGTGGGTCCTGCCCTCCGCAGCCCACAGGAGGCCTTCCTTCTCCAGCCCGGGTCTCTCTCTCAATCCCCAGACCCTACGTGGACCTAGTGAACCTGCTGCTGACCTGTGGGGAGGAGGTGAAGGAGGCCATCACCCACAGCGTCCAGGCTCAGTGTGAGCAGAGCTGGGGAAGCCTGTGCTCCATCCTGAGTTTCTGCACCTCGGCCATCCAGAGACCCCCCACGGCGCCGCCCGAGCGCCAGCTCCAGGGCGACAGGGCCAAGCTCTCCAGGGGCCACCCCGCGGAAATGGGGCACCACCTCGCAGAGCCCAGCAGTCGGGAGACCAGCCGAGGAGCCAAGGGTGAGCGAGGTAGCAAGAGCCACCCCAACGCCCACGCCCGCGGCAGAGCGGCCGGCCCCGGGGCCCAGGGAACTTCTGGAAGCAGCGAGTGGGAGGATGAACAGTCTGAGTATTCCGATATCCGGAGGTGAAACGAAAGGCCCGGCCAGGAAATCTTTTCCTCCACGCCGTCCATTTTCTTCTCTCTGGACATTCCAAAACATTTGCCATTAAAGAGGGGGGCTATCACTTGCAGGATGTGATGGGGAGTGCGGACTTACGTGTATGTTAACGGCATGAACAGGTGAGGCGGAGGCTCCCTGGGCAGCAGCGAGGGCCCGGTGGTGCCTGGTGTGTCCCGCACCCACACGATCCAACGGGAGGTCGCCCTCCTCGCAACTTTGCCTTCTTCCCATCCGCGGAGACCCTGGGCTGTGGCTTGCGGCTCTCTTTGCCCTGGGAGGTGATGCGAGGGGCGGGGTGACCCCCGGGGTGGCAGACTGAGCGCTTGGTGCTGCCCCCCCCGCCCCAGCTTCTGTGCGGTCCTAGCGGAGCGCAGCTGGATTCCCGCGCAGGAGTGGGTGTGCAAACCTCTCTGGGAATCAGGAGGGTGGAGCGGGGGCAGGGCCATGTGGGTGCCTGGTGCCAAACAGAAATCCAGTTTCTTGCATGGGACCTTGAGGTTTGGAGTAACTTGGGATGGGGCAGGGGGTTGTGGGGGTGGCAAGGATTCTAAGTGTAATTTCTGAGCCATTGTTCTGTCTGGGGGACCCTGCTGCAGGGAGTGACCCCTGTGTGTTTGTATTTTAACCACTGCTTCGAGCCTCAATTTCACTCTTTTTATTTATCCAGTTACATCTCCGTATCTGTCGTCTAAATAAATAGCTTTCAAACAAGCAACTGGGTCATTAAAACCAGCTCAAAAGAAAGCAAAAAGCAACCCATCTTTGGGGGCTGAATTTTTTTTTTTTAGTGCTATTTTTAAAGTAATCAAAAAGTGATGTAGCTTTATGTCTGACTGCCTGACATGGCCTCATTGCCACTAGCGCAAAGCCCACCCTGGAAAAAAAATGCACCCAGGAGTGCATTTGACAGAGTTCCCTTTGCCTTTCGGTACCTCGCCTTGACCCTCAGCCAAGGCGGACCCTGGGTTCCATTGGGCCGAGTTGGAAAGCTGGCCTGTCCATGCTAGAGGCTGGAAAAGGGGAACCCAGAAGGACTACTCTTAATTTTCACCAGGGAACGCCGACCTTTTATGTAAATGGAGGAGACTGCTGCACATCACTAGGGGACAAGATTTCCCAGATCCAGAATGAAAATTTAGCAATGAGAAAAGGAGTCAGAATGGACAAAGAAAAGCAGGGAGGAGAGACAGAACTGAGAACAGGGAAAGGATTAGAACAGAAAGCATTGGCAACCGGTGTCTTGTGGTTACTGAAGAGGTCTCAGAGATAGGCCTTTTCTTCTCTTTCCTGACAAAGCTTATCCTTTCTTGCAGCCAGTACTCAAATAGGAGCCCAGTATTGCAAGGAATGGATGGATGTTCTGGGCCAGGTCCTTCTGGAACAGGGGTCAGCAAACCTTGTCTGTAAAGGCCCAGATAGTGAATACACTATTTTCAGTTTGGCAGGTTGTATGGTTTTTGTTGCAGCTACTCAACTCAGCCTTTGTTGCCTGAAAGCAGAAACATACACAGACAACACATAACAAATAGGCTTGGCTCCACTCCATTAAATTTTTATTTAACAAGCGCCCAACTGGATTTGGCTCTTGGGCCTGAGTTTGCTGACTGCTGTTCTGGTGACTGGGCAAAAAAGTATGCATCCTCCATTTATATCAACTCATAGCTTTCCCTCAAAGCAACCTGAGGCCAGAGATAAAGAGGCTAAATTTATCTACTCAAAAATGATGTGTTCCACAGAATGCCCTTACCCAAAGCCCAGCTAGTGTTTATATAACCTAAATCCAGTCTCACTGCTGCCAGGACAAGGTGCCAGAGCGTCGTTTTCCCAATCTTTCATGATCCATGTTGGAAAGAAACCATCTGTTGGGGGGAGGGGTACCAGAGGCTGGGAGAAGCACCTAGAAAGAGCTGGAGTTGCAGAAAGCAGAGGAGATGTTGCACTTGATCCAGCTCTGCCTTCGAAGAGAGAAGGACCGGTGTGTCAGACTTCCATGGCAACTGAACGTAAACCATGGCTGTCTGAAGCCACACAGCACGTGGACTGTTTTCCTTACATCACTCAAAAGCTGAAGCAATAACATTCTGTCGCGTTGCTGGGTCAGCTGCTCATTTGTTCGCCCGCTTCTGGGCTGGGTGGGTGAAAGGCATCACTTTTATATTTTCCTCAGTGTAAATGTTTTACATGTTCGCTACTGATGCCCCATGTGTTCCTTCTGTTGTAAATATTTGTCATTTGTATTTATTATCTCGGTGTTTTCCCCCGAGGCATAAAATCGCTTACTGTGTTGATCTGAACCCCCTCATTGATCGCTGTTGTATATTTTTTCATGCCACTGCTTCGTCTCTTCTCAAAAGTCAGGTAGAAATCCTTGCATTCTGGTTCCTAATGTTTTGAAGCCTACAGTAGTATTTATTACTGAGATTCTTTATCTCAAAACTGAGGAAAATCCAAATTCCTGTAAGCATGGACTCAGGCATTTGTACAGTCTAAAATGTAAGCAAAGTTGTCCTTAAAAATAGACCCTCCACTTGGGGCTTCATACTTCATACAAATTTACTCCTGAGCCTTCCTTTGAGGAAGGATGTGGATTTCCAAATAAAGATATGATGTTTATTTTGAGCCCTGCATCTTAACAAGATGATCCGAACACCTCTCCTTTGTATCAATAAATAGCCCTGTTATTCTGAAGTGAGAGGCCTTAATAGAGTGAAATGCTGACACTCAAAACTAAATAAATAGAAAATGCTAGCCCAGAGCTGTAGCTGTACTTTCATATACAGACACACACACAGAAATTTCAGCTCGAACCTAGGAAAAGGCCTCGTTTAGAACAACAAGGCCAAACAACGCTTCCAGGACCCATTTCCTAAGGAAGAGCAACCCTCGTGTGATTTCAGCGTCAGCACCATGTGGGCTGGCTAGGTTATAAGATCTGTTTCTGTTATGGATTTAAGCAGCAGGACCTGTACGTTGTCACATTGCATTATCTTTCTCCAAGCCTTAATAAAGGTTTTAAATAAATGACTTCCTCTTGAGTAGCATTTTTGTCTGAGAGAGCTTTGGATGGGCCAAGGGGATGGCTGTGAGCCAGTGGGCTTTGAGTCCATTTAAAATGCTGGATGTTCAGATACCTAAGAAACAGAAACAGGCTCACAGACAAAGAGAACAGAGGTGTGGCTGCCAAAGGGGAGGGGGCTGGGGGAGGGCTGGGAGCTTGGGCCTAACAGAGGCAAACTGTTACATATAGGATGGATAAACAAGGCCCCAGGACTTCCCTGGTGGCCTTGTGGTTAAGACTCTGGGCTTTCACTGTGATGGCCCAGGTTCAATTCCTGGTTGGAGAAGATCTCACAAGCCACATGGTGTAACCAAAAGAAAAAACAACAAGGACCTACTGTATAACAGGGAACTATTTTCAATATCCTATGATAAGCCGTGATGGAAAATAATATGAAAAAGAATATGTGTGTGTGTGTAATTGAGTCACTTTGCTATACAGCAAAAGATAATACAACATTGTAAATCAATCTTATGTCAGTTTAAAAAATTTAATAGTGAGCATTCAGTTTACAGGGAGAGGAACTCAGGGAGGAAGACTACTCTGGGCTTTTCTTCCATCACAGGGCCTCTGTCCAAAACCCTGCCTGAACCACCAAAGAGGAGGCTGAGCTTCTGTGGCCAGCCTGAAAGCTCCTATCCCAGGGCCATCAGGGTGGTCCTCACAGCTCCTTGTGGAGTCCATAGGCCTTGGAGTCAGCTACCCTTTCTTGCAGATGGAGCCTAGAGAGGACGCAGTTAAGTCTTGGCCAGAAAACAGCTCAGGGGCCAGGGGCCAGGGGCCCTGCACAGGCAAGGAAGCCTCCTCCTCACCTCTTCCTTCCTCAACACTGCTGGAGAGCTGGAGTCCCTGACTTACTAATCCTATGGTTTACTCCACCATCAGCATACCTACTATGTCCTCAGCACCACGCCAGGCATCTTACATACGTAACCTCATCCCAACTATGTCCCACAAGCAGTAGCTATTATCCCCACTTTACAGGTGAAGAAACCAAGGTACAGGAAAGTAAAGCAACTTCTCCCAAACCGTGTGACTAGTGGCAGGGGTGGGGGTGGCGGGGGACACCTGAACTCGAACCTGGATCTATGACTCTAAGCCCACATGCTTTCCCCTACTCAGGCCCAGATTCTTCACATACAATTTATTTTTAATTTAAACCAATCAGTATGATTCTATTTTACACAGAGCTTAAAGAAAGAATAATTATACTCTTATATTTATAGCACCAGGCCTCCAAGGAATTCTGCTTTAGAACGGAAAGGAAAATTGATGCTCTCACCTTTCCTCTCTGCAAAGACTCAGATTTTAGTTCAGATTAAGGGAGGGGAGGAAAATCACGGAGTCTGATCGCTTTTCAGTGCATATGAGTGATTTTTTTTTTAAGATGCTGCTTAAATGTTCCCAAGGAAAGCCTTTGGGGAGTGGCTGGCTGGAGTGACCCTGCAGACTGAGTTTTCACCACTAAACCCACCCATTCACCAGCCCTGTCTTGAGACGTCAGGCTTCGCTGAAATCTTCACCATCGCCATCGCCGTCATCACGATGGCTGCAGTTTACGTGCCCCGTGCTGCTTGGTGCTTCACAGATATCACGTCTGAGCTTCCTTTTACATATGAAAAAATTGAAGCCCAAAGGCATCTTCATTTGCCTAGAGCCATCACAAGGCTAGCAAGCTGCAGGGGGTGGCAGGGCTCAGTCAGCATTGTCTGCTATCTGTCGATTACATCCCTGATGTGAAAATGTGGGTTAAATACACCCAGTGTTCAGAAACGCAGCTACCTCCCTCCCCCTGACCCTCAGAACTGCTCCAGTCTACTGGTTCAGGGATGATGAGGCTGTGGGAGGGCTATGAGTTCTTCCAAATATGCTGGATTTAAGCAAAGTTTTCAAAAGAAGCTGGAGCCGTGGGTCCCACAATCTGGAGACAGATATCTGAATTTATTCTAAAGTTGACAAAAAAGAAAGCCTCCAAAAAAAAAAGAAAGAAAGAAAGCCTCCTACTGAAGAGGGAACAAGTCTTGGCCAGAGAGCAAGTTTCATGTGAAATTGTTCTGTGGGGGTCAGAGAAAAGATCAATACAAGCCTAGGGCTAGGAGTCATATGAGGCTGCTAGCATAAGAAGTTCAGTTTCTATGACTCCACAGAAAGAACATACAACTCAAAAGTCACTCCCTAAAGAGAATTCCGGGCAAAGCCACAAAGCCAACCTAAGCTGATGCATGAAATGGGCCCTGTTTCACTCAGCAGGATGAACCCTGCTGTCCCACGGGAGCTGGGC